TCTTACAAGGAAGAGGTTTTTCCTTGTTGAATTGAAAGATTGCTTGCGTTTAGCCCATTCCCAAAAACCGTGGGGAAAGAAGATAAATGTCTTCGAATCAAATATAATAATGTCAGGACAAACAATTTCGCTTTCTGCTTCGAAGAGTTTGTTGGGGATTTAAAGTGGACACCAATATATTTTGGCACAATCAAGTGACTGGAATTGCAGAGGCTGCTCCTTAAAAGCTTGGAACACTATTCCGAACCAGAAAAATATACACATCTCAAAAAATGTTGATGCTTCCTAAAGCTCAGATCAGAACTTCTTTGGAAAACTAAGGGCCGGAGTCCCTAGAGGCTGAGCCCTAAGAGTTGTCCTCGGAAATTGTCATAGTGAGATCCTCAGGGAGACCAGTGACGAAACCTGGAAAGTAGGCAAATTGGCAACGTAGCGTAGTCATACTTTTGAAATTTATGATGCACTTTTTAGAACCTTTGGTGAAGTAATGAATGTTGCTGGAGTTTTTTTCCCAACACCAAATCGTTATTTTTAACACCCCGACACGTGTTTCGATCACCAAGTGATCGTCTTCAAAGTGGGAGATTAAAACTGTTTTAATCTTCCACTTTGAAGATGATCACCAAGTGATTGAAACTATTTTAATCTTCCTCTTTGAAGATGATCACTTGGTGATCGAAACACATGTGGAGGTGTTGAAAATAACGATTTGGTGTTGGGAAAAAAACTCCAGTAATATTCATTTTTGAAATTGGCTACAAAGCCAATGGAGGCAGAAGTAGAAGAATATAACCAACCTACCATTATTGGCGAATGGATAAGAAAGTGTATATCATTCTGAAACAATAACTTCCACATTTGATGCAGCTTTTCTCTGAAATCAATCAACCACGGAAATGCATTTTACCAAATTTTTTGGAGTATCGTTATTCAATTCGATAAAGGCGATCAAAGAGAAATATAACGCCTACTGCACTTAAATCCATGCGGGTCTGACCTACAGTTCAACCTATCATGAACAGTACCTATTTTTCTTTCAATAGGAGAACAAATGAAAGGATACAATATCTCCCCGAGGAATTCTATCCGGCGCACGCCAAAAAAAAACGAGAACAAATCGAGTAATCAATAAAACATTTTGTGGAACAGACACCACTAATGGAAGTTATTGGCTTTTTAATTTTTCTACCTCGCTCGCGTTTTTATCCAGACTTTATTACTCCCTGGAGAAAATATATCTCATTGTGTTACTTTTATCGGAAGCAGTAGCTCGTTTCCTTTGGGTATATATTTCCGGGTATTAAGTTATAGCTTGTCGTCAATAAGCTTTACCGTCCACTGGAAACCATTGTTGTATAATTGTTTGGTGCTTTGCTATATATTGGATTTCTGAACGAAGAGGAAAGAAATGTTCGGTTCTCGGTGTTTCGTTGATGGTAATAAATTGGATCAAATGAAGATAGATTCGTTGACAT